ACGTAAATTACAAACTCGTTATTTAACATTTAAAATCGAGCCCCCTAAGTGAATCCTAGCTCCGTCACTGCTTATTAGTATCTCTAATAAGAAAATTTTGCACAACTAATGTTCGTTTTGTTTGTGCATCACTTGCGCACCCGAGGTACGTATTATCCTAAATAGTACTATTAATTTAGGTCCTTTTTTCCCCATAAAATCTTCTTATTTGACGAGAGGAACATGCAATCGATCTGAATTTGGAGTGTTCCGGGAGATATTGTCTTCTCCAAGGTGAGAAATACAAACAACCTACATGCATAACACTACTTCATTCGTCAAAATTTTGTACGCTTTACCTGTTTTCTATATTGCTAGCAAAATATTACGTGATGATTACACAATGGATACAATTTGATTCCAGAGAAGACTCAGCATGAGAAAATTACTCATTGGCGCCTTTTCAAGAAAATAAAAATAGCACTGTTGATCGACCTGTTATATGTTGTTCATTTTTCTTTTGTCGTATCAACCGCTTGGAGTCCACGAGCTGCAGAGTTGTATAAGTAAAGCTCCTATGCTAGCTCGCTCGGAGCTTCTGGGAAAGAACTTGCATGGTTTATTTATAGAAGAAAGTCAGGCAAGGTCCTCAAAAGAATTAATGTTATTTTTTGTCAGAATTCTGCATTTATTTAATTAGAACTTACCATATTCACAAATGTTGTATTGACATGTGTCCTGCAATAAATACACACCGGACATGTGTCAGTACATAAAAGTACATAAAATAATTTGATGGCTCCATAAAATTTCTGGTATAACATACACGTTTTTGTGAGAGTTTGGGATTTGAACCACTTTGAATACTCAGTTTTGTCGTAAAAAGCTAGAATTGCGTTCGGGTTTCGCTCATCTCGTTTCATTATATTCTGTGGAAAACTTTGAAATCCTTTCCACAAATCACATAACTGTATAAATGAATGTAATGAAAAGTCCTTGACAAATAATAGATCTGTCAAAATCTGCATGTCCCAAACAAAGTTGATAGATTTGAGGTTGAACTGGACACAGTCAACATAACATAAAGTCTTATACCATGAAAAGATTTGAAATTTTAGTTCAAAGGATTATGTTTAACTATTTGAGTCATCAAATACATGAAACCTTTGCGTACATATAAACTAGGACGTGCCACACAAATGATAGGGCAATTACGACATTGAAATAACCGCACAAACGTATTTCTAGCAGAATATTCGGAAAACACTACGGGAAATGGGTTGAACAGTCTGTGTTTCAAGACGGGCATTAAACAAGAACAAGGTTTAGCTAGATGGTATAAAGAAGACCTCGTGCAATATTTACCTGGGTTTCAACGCAAGAGCTGGGAGAGCAGATACTAAAGATAACTTTAGAATGTACCTTCAAGAAAGAAAAAAAAAATCTGGACACAAGATTTATAAGCATTTGAAATTGAAACAAATTAATCACATTATGGATAGAAAGAGATTCATCGATATCTTCCTTCAGAATAATAACAAGCTTATGAATAAATTCACAGAACTCCCAATTTATAATTTTCTAAAGAGGATGTTAAGATTGAACTGCTTTTTGATAAACTTTACTAGTCTACAGAACAAAAATTATCAGAAAAGTAGAAAGTCATTTTTTTTCCTACTACAATGTTAATCTAATTCAGCATTTCACATATCAAATTAACTGGTTTTGTGCAAATACAATGAGCTTAAATGTTGCTTGAACAGGACAAACAATTCGTTTGGGAGAAACGAGTTAGCAACGAAATTGAGACACAAGTGGCTCTCCACTAAATAAAACTCACACGGTAAGGATATTCGAGCAATACAGTGCAGAAAGTTTAAACACACTTACAGACAAAAGTAACACCACCCACTTTAGCTTTCTAAATTACAAATGCCCCATATTAAGGTTTTACAAACAGCCCTTGATTGTATTTATCTAACAAACGGTTAATTTGTTAAAGAGAAGCAAATGGTCAATAGTTATTCAAATTTTCTAACACAATCGTGATCTCTTTATAACTAACGAAATAAAGGACTATAAAATGCACTCAAACTACAACAGCAACAAGTAAAATCTTCCTATTTCGGTTTAAATTACATCATTTCCATGAAGACCATAAGTTCCCTACAGCAAGAAAACATGAACAATAGTACACAATGAAAAAAAAGGAGCACTTACATGGTGGTCTTGTTCATGGAGGTCAATATGGTTTGCAGGGACTCCATTTGCTTCGCCAAAACAGCACGCTCTATGCCATCAACAAATTTCAAAGTCCCATAGTTACTTGAATTTTGGATCAACTACACATCAAATTGCCAAATGAACAAATATTCAAAAAAAATTGAACTCCCATATATGTATAGAGAGAGGGAGAACCTGCAACCTCTGGATAATGGAAGAGGCATTAGAAAACTGTATAAGCAGCCGAGACTGAAGCTCTTCCCATCAACTCATGTCATCCTTTATTCTCTTGAACTTCTGCTGATACTTTTTAATATCGACTCTCTCTCTCTCTCTCTCTCTCTCTCTCTCTCTCTCTCTCTCTCTCTCTCTCTCCAATCGAGCTCGAATCAATTAGCGGCCGTGGTCTCCGGGAATTTCAGGCCGGAGCTCGCCGTGTACCGGTAAAAGGATAGAGTCCCTGGAATAAAACAAGCGTCTAATGCAAGCTCTGTGAAAAGAGCATAAGTTGGATGCATTTGCGAGAGAACGAAGAAATATGTGGATCGGCAGTAACCAAGAAAAAAAACAAATAAAGAAAGGCCATAAGGAGCTCCGGAGTAAGATTTTGGATTGAAATTAGGTTCCGATTCCATGAGGTATAGCTTCAAGGAGTTTCAAAGTGCACAATTCTAAAACAAGGGATGAGAAAATGTAGTACAAATCGAAAAAGGCAATAGTGAATGCTGAATTGTAGGAGCACGATGCTCAACATGTGCAAAATCAAAGAAGCAATGTATATCTTGATATATAGACAATGATTGACGCTGGAGAAAAAAAAAAGATCAAACTCTCAGTTTATAATATTCAATAGGATCAATACATCCGCAAGACAACATGGAAGGTATTGAAAAAATAATGAGAAATGAGGAACAAATAACAAGGATATCAAAATCTTGGTGAAAATAATTTATCTGATAGGACACACAACAGAAAATGGTCCACGATAAGTCAACAAAGCTAAAGGTTTCATAATTAGAATGACATATTGCTTAAAAAGAATAATTTCACATCCTTATACAAGTCCAATCCGTAACTTCCTGCAGCCATTTGATGACAGGAACTGTGAATGAACTGATATATGAAGAACTTAAGATAAATCGAAGAAAACCATTTCTCATTCACAATAGTTCACAACCTTGAAGTTGAGTCTAAGAAGATCGCGTGACCAAGCCACGGAATATAAGAAAATACACCATTCTTATTGAAGAATAACTAATGTCTTTTGCATACAATTTTTTGTGTGAAGAAGAAACTCAGTTCTTATATAAGCTACTTGCAAATCTACCAAAATAAATGGAGATCTTCTACATGTAGCTTTTTTGTTTTCTTCAATTCTACCTGCATTTTACAGTTTCCTCACATAATATTGAAATTCCAACATCTAATTTGATCCGTAATAAGGTAAATCAGAGAAGGCGTCCAACAAAATTGATAATTGGATGAGATGGAAGGTTTAAGAAGGCAGAAGGGGCAGTGATTATCATTCTACATTTGGTTTAAACTTTAAAGCACAAACTTCATATTCCGAACACGTGGTCCGGGATGGGACAGAATCCACAAACCAATACTAAAGAACCAGAATCATAAAAGCAAAATAATAAATCACTTGACCCTCAAAGCTTTTGAGATCAGAGTTAGAGTTGGGATATTACAAAATATGAGAGTTTGAAGTAAAGAGAGAAAGGAGTAAGATGAAACCTAAAAGATTATCTTGGAATATAACAATTGTTTACTTGACCCAGAAAGAGCAGAGTCAGACATCACATTAAGATGGCATCCGAAAAGTACAAATGCAATCCAACACATCAATCACAGGAGAAAACTTAAAAGTCCAGGAGCACAGAATAGTTATAGCATATCCAAGGGGCAAGAACTTCACTCTGTAAATATTTTATGCGCTGATTTTTTCCAAAAAAATAAATAAAAAATTACCCCCCCTATATATCATATCTAGGTCTAATTTTAGCTGGATGTTTCAGCTGTGAAAATACAACAGTCTTCCTGATTTGAATCAGCTCGTGTACCAAAGAAATTAGGGCCACATAAAAATCAAGGGCATAAATAGGACTAGACAACAATTACAGTAATTCCCTGGGTAGGCTCATTTTATTGCATGTTATATTTGTGGAGTTAAAAAATGACAAGAAAGAAGACGACGACAACAACATTAATTATAATAATAATAAAAATCTACTCTTCAAAACCCCAAACTAGATGCATTCACAAAATTCACAAAAGCAAGCGATCCCAATTGTTAAGCAGATGCAAACTTCAACAAACCAACTGTTCAAACACCGCAAGGCGACCATAAAATCAACACGCAACCTACTCAGACCTCAATTGGGAAAAAGGGAACAACCTAAATGATGAAAGAAAATAAATTAGGAATAAATACATGAATGTAGCACACGTACCAGCAAATAATTTGTTTTCTCGTTCAGGACACGGCAAATTAGGTTTCTTCAATTATATCGCACTTTTCTTCTTTTCGTCTTGCAGTTTATAGAAACCCTACCAAACTGAATCGATTTTTGGGTTCGAAAGTTTTGATGAAAGGAGAAATTGGTGTTGTAATATAGATTGATAACGTGTTGTAATATAGAAATGATGTGAAAGGACTACTACTATGTGTTTGGCAACTAAAAATGATTAAAGACCTTTTTTTTTAAGTTCAAGGTTGTTGACTGCACTTTGGTTCCTTTAAGGAGGACAACTTGCTTTATGTGTCAGCTTGTTCAAAGCACCTTACTTCTATCCAGTAGTAGCAGGACGACTGGATTTTACTTCGGCAGAACAATGATTCCAACGATTTGCTTACTCTCGTACAAGGCTATTGACAACACCACCTTGCTTCTGTGTCAGCTTTCGCTCTAAACTTTTAGGGGACACCATTATGGTGCTTTTGTCAAGTTCGAGCTTTCGCTCTGAGGGTGTCATTCTTTTCACTCCGAGGCTATTGTCCTCATCCAAGAATAGGAGGTTAAAGTGTGTAAAATGTGGCGAACCTTTCAGTTCAGCTAAAAAAGCTCTCTCGTTATGGGGGAAATTTCAATAATCACATGAAAATCAAAAAGCTTTTGGATTTAGATGTTGGTGTGGGAACTTCTTCAAAACTTAGTTGGTATGTAAGAATGCATGTGACGACAACTCCACATATGCCCCTTCTTACCAACTAAAATCTTGAAGAACTTCCCACACCAACACCAAAATCCAAAAGCTCTTTGATTTTCCTATGATCTTTCAACTTTCCAAAAGCTCTTTGATTTTCCTGTGATCTTTGAACTTTACCCCCTTAACGAGAGAGCTTTTAAATGAACTGAAAGGTTGGCCACATTTTACACACTTAAACTTCCTATTCCTAGATGAGTACAGCAACGGAGAGAAAGAGAACGACACATTCGGATAGGAACTTAACGAAAGTAAATGATGGTGTCCCCTAAAAGCTTGGAGCGAAAGCTGATACACAAAATTAAGGTGGTGCTATCAATAGCCTTAGACGAGAGTAAGTCGTCGAAAGCATGGTACAGTCGAAGTAAAATCAAGTCGTCCGCTGCTACTACTGAACGGAAGTAAGGTGCTGTGAACAACCTGGCACATAAAGCAAAAGCAAGTTGTCCTCCTTGACGGAACCAAGGTGCAGTTAACAACCTTGAACTTAAAAAAAAAAAAAAAGATCTTTAATTCCTTTTTATTTGCCAACACAGTGGTAGTCCTTCGGTGTGGACTTATACAAATATATATCTGAAATATATATCTGAAATTTCTCAAACCGTCCGGAAGGGTCCGGACTTCCCGAACTGGTTCGGCTGAACTGAAATTCTCTTCGAACCAATCCGGACTGAACTGGACCGACGGCTCACTCGGAGCCGATCAATCATTCGCTTGACTATGTGCAGCTCGGTTTGACCGTGGTCTGAGTTCGGCGTGGCAACTCGGGCCGGCACGAACTCGACTGACACGGCTTAGCCGATGCACGAGTTTGAAACGGTGCCACGGTCACTGACGTAAGGGCGTGCTTGGACCACGACTAACGAAAACAGCGCGTAGACGGTTGATCGGATGGATTCGGTGCAAGGGCACGCATTCGGTGGTTGGACTCGGATTTGGTGAACGGGCACGCACTCGGTGGTTCGGCTCCAACGGTCGGACGAGAGTCGAACACTTGTGTGGGACAACGATACGCGTTAAGAATTAATGATATGACGTCTAAAGTTATTTAAACGGTACTAGAGTTCGGTCGATTAAACTCGAATCCGAAAATTACCCAGTTATCGGAACCGTATAAAACTATGGTTTCTTATACTCGAAAATCCCAACTCATTTAATACCGATATGTAAATCATAATTTCTATGTGATTTATACCGATTTTATAATCAACAACTGCAGTTAAAATCCACAACTGGACTAATTTTCTATATTTATCGCATTTCTCGGCTAAAGTCCCAATTTTTAATCTAAGTCAAACGACATCCAAAATTTACGAAATTTAAAACATAACATCCTCATCTTATACGTAGTCTATAGCCAAAATATCGCAACACAATTTAACTTCTAACTCATTCAACTAACAATCACTTCAATTGGTCAACATATTCAAAAATCTCGTTAGCTTATCAAACAAACTCTAAAATTCTCCCGACCCGCATCTTAAGCCTTAAGACAACTCTAAAATTCTCCAAACCCGCATCTTAAGTCTCAAGACAACGCAACGAATTTTATAAAATTTATTTTGTCATTTTATCACATTTATATCAAAACTCGAAGTCCACTTGAAGCTCGAAAAACCTCAATTAAATCAATAATCACGCAAATCATCAATATTCTCGATTTTATAATATCTCGATAATCTTATTGGAGAAGGGTTCAAGCCATTTTACCTAAAATCGGGCTCAAATCTGAGATCTGTAAGTCTAAAAATGCTAAGGAAATGGACCGGGGCTTGAACCGGGTCGATTTGGAGCAACCGAGTCAGATTTGAAGCTGTTCAGATCGGACCAAGTCAACTGGGCTCGTCGGCGCACGTGGACCCGCAGGTGTACGGGCGCCGGGAAGCTCGCGTACAGGCACGGGAATTCGGGTCTTACCGGCGTGGCGGAGCTGGTACCGACGGGAACGGCGAGAACCGAGGTCGCAGGAGCTGGAATCGACGGGAACGAGGTCGCCGGCGGACAGAGCTGCTGCAAGTGACGGCAACGACAGCTGGCTGCGGGGGTCGCCGGAAAAAGGAGCTGCGGCTGAGGGAGATGGACGGTGACTGCTCGACGGGACTTGAGGTGGTGCGACCGGCGGCTCGAGCTGCGGTTCGCCTGCGGACAAGGCTGAGCTCGCGTGGAGGAGCTTGCAGCTGGGATGAGGACGGCGGCTGAGCTCGTGTGTGGAGCTGCCGGAGCTTGAACGGCGAGGTTCGGGTGGTGGACGAGCTGGACGAGGAAATGCCGGCGGTTTTATGGTGGCGCGAGCTCGGGGCTGAGGTGTGAGGGCCGTGAAGGAGCTGGCTTGGTCGTGGTTCGATGCTCGCCGGCGGGGAGGTCGCGGAAGGACGGCGGCTCGCCGGAGCAGTGTTGGTCGGCCGGAAATGGAAGTGGCGGTGGTGGGTCTTGAAGGAAACGTGGTGGGGAAGATGGATGTGTTGTATTTACAGGAGAGTAGGAATTAGGGTTTGGTAGTGTAATTGGGCTCATTGGGCCTTAAAAATTTCCCAACACTTTGGGCTTAAAATGGGGCTTTTAAAATCGACTATGTAATCGGACTAAATAATAATCGAACATTGGACTTAGCTTAAAATAATTTGTTCAGGTAATTTAAAAATATAACTTGACTTAGACAAAATTAATTTAGCCGGTCGACTTTTTTAAAATAATTGAGCTCGGAATTAAAATTCGAATATGGGCTTGATTTTTAAAATGGAATTAAAATAAAATCGAACATGGGAGTGATTTACTAAAATGAAATGAGACGAAATAAAATTGAACCTAGGCTCGATTAACTTAAATGGGTCGGCTAAAATAATTGGACTGGCTCGAAAATGATTAGGCTCCAATAATTTAATTATTCGGCTTCGATCCGCTTTAATAAAATTTCGATTATTCCAAAGCTCGATTTTAAAGATAGAACCAATAATTGGAGTAAATAAATCCGATTTTAATAATTAAAATCGAATAAATACTTCATGGCTTAGACTTTAAACTAAATACTCAATTTGATGCAAATAATAATAATAAATGCATCAATTTAGGAAACCAGCTATTTATAAAAATAAAGACGAGTTTCATAAATAGTAAATAATATTCTGGGCGTTACAATATATCCTCTTTACAATATTTTCATCTCGGAAATACCAAAACTAACATAAGTCCGACTCAACTAGAGACTAGGAATCGAAAAATACATCTATATCTATATATATAATAAGATTTATCATTTTTCAAAAATAGCAGGTCAACTCTTTGGTCAAATTCAGACATAATTAATTAGTTTCCTTTAATGGTAATCTTTTTTAAATTTACTACTTGACGGGAAATTCACGGAAAAAGCGTTGCGGTTATTTTGGGAGAAAATTTGGGGAGAAAATTTGATTTTTTTTTTTTAATTACTTAATGACGGAAAATAAAGGCTTCCAATGATAATGGCTAAACAAATCTTTAATATGAAGAATCTCACTGTACTAGGATAGGATCTCTAACTAATTAGTAAAAAAATAGAAAGAAAATTTGGCCATACACAATTTTTCGATTTACAATATGTATCACTTAAAATACAAAAGATTAAATTAAAAGATTCAAAATTTTTGAAATTTTTTTTAACCAAACACATTTTTTCAATATTGGATCACTTATAATACAACATAAATAGATGTTCAAAAATTTGTCACTATTGGTATTATAAATTTTCATGGTCACAATTTTTTTTGATCGAAAACTCTTCAATAATAATAAAAAAAAATTAAAATTGGTTGATACATATCAGGTTATTTATATAAGGAGAGTCATATTATAAGGAGAGTTATGTTGTGTTAATTTTGACAAAATTTATTAACATGTGATCTAATTTAGCATAATTATTCAGCAAAACTTTGTTTAATTGAATTCACGTATATTCTCCATTGTAACATTGTGCTCAGTTATAATCTTAGGTAAATAATTAGGTTGGATTTCAATTCTTTCGAACATATTATATTTGACACCAAATTAGAGATGTGATCTAAATAATTTTTTTGGTAAATAAATTTTAATATTTAATTATTTATACTATGTTCAATTTATTGTAAAGAAATATTTATATTACTTTATTCATTACCTATTATTTTTGTTAATTGCATCCTATATATCTTTTTCTTGAAATTCGGAATTTGTTATGATATGAAATAAGTTTTTATTTATGGTTTCGATTATGGAGAAATTCTGATACACAATTCCTTTGTAACGTTTTCACTATCGGTAAATATTTTATTTTTGTTTAAAAATTTTAAATTAATTTTATCTTTAGTTTTGCTTTCGGACAAATTTTGATATACGATCCATTTTTAATGTTATCGTTGTTTTTATGTTAAAAATCTAATTTACACAGTTTGTTTAAAAATATTAATTTAATATATTCACTTTGTACCGATAAAGATAATATTTTATCACTTCAATACAAATAATCACATTCACTACAGATTACACAAACTAGATCTCAAAAGACTACATGTTCATTCTATGTATAAATTACAATGATATAAATCACAAAAAAATGTTAAAATAAATAAATAATCAGAAATCCATTATTTACAATAATAATTTTATAGATCTTGATTTAATATTTTTCATTCCAGCCGATAAAATAATTTATCACGTGAATACATATTAGCACAATAACTACAAATTGGACAAATTAAATCACTTATCGAACTTAACAAAAGAATTTAAAATATTGCATTTCCATTCGATGTATAAAA